ATATAGTATAATAAGTATATAGTATATGTATATAGTATATATATATATATATATATATATATATACATATATATACCATATATACATATATATATATATATATGCATATACATATACATGTACACATAAATATACACATACATATACATATACATATGCATACACATATACATACACATATACATATACATACATATACATACATAAACATACATAAACATACATACGTATACATATATATATACATATACATATACATATACATACATACATATACATATACATATACTCATACATATACACATACATATACACATGCACATACACATACACATGCACATACACATACACATACATATACACATACACATACATATACACATACATATACACATACATATACACATACATAAACACATACATATACACATACACATACATATACATACATATACATATACATATATATACATACATATACATATACACATACATATACACATACACATACATATACACATACATATACATATACACATACATAAACACATACATATACACATACATATACACAAACACACACATATACACATACACACACATATACATATACATATACATACATATACATATACATATATATATATATAACATACATATACATATACACATACATATACTCATACATATACACATACACATATACATACATATACACATACATATACATATACATATACATTTTACATATACATATACATATACATTTTACATATACATATACATATACATATACATTTTACAGATACATATACATATACATATACATTTTACATATACATATACAGATACATATATATCCCGATCGGGCTAAAGGATCAAAAAGTTGTAGAGATTCATGACCATCTCTCTAGAAAGAGAAGAAGACATATTTTAATAAAATATAGGGGATCAGATAGAATGCAGTTTGTACAAGAGTTGGGTCAAACTAGCCAAACATTTTCCCGTGTGATTGAACAACCGCAATTTGTTCTTCGGTATATATATTCAAAAAAATAGATCACTTGTGATCCTAGGTCTCTTTATCACTTGTTTCATGTAGGAATACTGTACAGGGGCTCGGTCGTTAATATTTTTATAGTCACGGATGCCGTATAGGGATTATACACACAATCGGTCCGCCACCCAAAAGTTTTTGTTTTTGTCTTTGTTTAGAGAAAACCATTTTTTTTTTTAGAGAAATATTCGCGATCCGATATATTTATGCCAATAGGAGCGGAATACATAAAAAATGGGACAGAGTGTGGATTTTTGTATTTATACATAAATCGGTTTTTATTTATTGATTTAAAAAAAAAAATTCTCAATGACACTTAGACTTATAGCCTTCTGAAATTGTTTGATTTCAGGCCATGTTAGACTACTCAAATGTTTTGTCTTGGCGAGTAATAAAGACGCAATATTACGCGACACTACAGCAGTACTGCTCCTTTCCACGGCCCTCTGTATTAGGGTCGCGAGCAGAAATCAGGTTTGTCGTAGCGGAAATCGTTAGTTTGACAGAGACCCTAATCCAGAGGGCCATTTCCTTCCCCTATTTTGAGACACGACCCCTATGTCCTACGAGATAACGAGCCCGCGTCTGACTCTGGAGTCTGGGTGGGAGACTGGGACTCTGGGGCCCCGAGGGGGTTCCCGTTGTAGGAGTAGACGGTAGTAGTGGACGGACTCGGCCACCCGGGACTGGGGGCTCCTTGGGACTGAGGACAAGAGTGCCCATGTCAACTCTCTGAGAGTCTGAGCTATTCAGGCCTTTAGGGGTTCCGCCTTCCGGTAGTTGAGACTCAGTAGTCAAGAACTCAACAAGACTACCGTATTGAACCAAGAAGGGTCTGGTCTTTTCACTTTTGTACACTGTGACTGGGCCCTCTGGGGTTCTACTCTACTCTCTCTCTACTCTCTCTAACGGAGAGAGAACGAGAGGCTAAAAATATAGAGATGTGTTAAGACTGCGACCACTACGCCTGCGACCGAGTCTTGCGACCACTATGACTGCGACTCTCGCCTGCGACATTAAGACTGAGGCTCTCGCCTGCGACCACTATGACTGCGACTATCGCCTGCGACTACTAAGTCTAAATATTTCGCCTGCCACCACTAAATCTTCCTCTCTCGCCTGCCACCCAATCACAAAATTTAGTTTATATATATATATATATATATATATATATATTATTTTTTTTTAACTTTTACTAGCTCTAATAGCGCGTGTGG